GGATAGAATATGACTCTAAAAATGAAAACTAGAAGAGATTTTTTAAAAAGGGATTGATAAGATGTTGGTTGAAAAAATGAAAAAGAAAAATTAAAAATAAATAGAAAAAGAAAGTTAAAAAAATTAACTTTGAAAGACTAAAGAATCATGGGAAAAAAGCCATGAATTCTATGTGCAGTATTCCCCTAGTGCTGGAGTTCTGCCGTTTTCATTGATCGGTGAACTTGGTCTTGGCCGGCTGTTCTTGCTGATATTCTGGGGGAGGGGCCTGTTGCCGTGGTTCCCAAATGTCTTTGCCGGAGGTGGAATTGCCCCCGCCCTTGCCCGTCTGGGCTAAGTAATCTGCTCGGGTTTGCTCTCGGGAGCTTATGTTCCCTGAAAGCTTTCTGTACAGCTTTGGAGGACAAGAGTGCAAATGGAGGCCTCCCAATCTCCGCCCGGAGGAGCTGAGAACTCAGGGCCCCACTCCTCAGTGTACCCCCAGAGAAAAGCAGTCAATCACTCCTATCTCCCAGTCTCTGGCCGCACTCCTTGCTCACCTGGCCTCTGACCGAGCATTTCTATCTCTGGCACATGACCCCATGTGGAGTCTCCAAACCCAGCAGATCCCTGTGGTGCATTCCTGCGCTGCTCCTCCCAGGGGAGGAAAGGAAGTCTCCCCAGATCTGTCGCTTATTGGGTCCCTGCTGGAAGAGCAGTGGCCCGACTGTGCCGGGCATCAGGGTTTATGGCAACCCCAAGCTGAGAGCTCGCTCCTCGGCTCCGTCTCTGCAGCCGGCTTCCCCACTCGGATACCTGGGAGCTCTGCTGCACTCAGGTACCCCCGGTCTTTCTGTGACCCCGAGGGTCTTGAGACCACACTGTCCTTGCAACAGTTCCACCCCCTGCTTAGCCACTGGAGCGACGTCCCTCAGTGGAGCCGACTTCTCAAAGTTTTGATTTTGTGCTGCGCTGCTCTATCACTTGCCAGAAGCGGCTGATGGAGGCTCCCTCCCCCACAGTCTATCTTCCCGAATATTGCCTCGGATTCACTTCTCTGCACGTCCTACCTTCCAGAAAGTGGTCACTTTTCTGTTCAGAGAGTTGCTGCTATTCTTTTCTTTGATCTCCTGTTGAGTTCGTAGGTGTTCAGAATGGTTTGATACCTATCTAGCTGAATTCCTGGGACCAGACGAAATTTAGGTCTCCTACTCCTCTGCCATCTTGCTCCTCCTCTGTTCAATCCATTTTGAATTAATTTTTGTATATGGTGCAAGAAAGTGGTTGTTTCATTCTTTTGTTTGTTGCTGTCCAGTTTTCCCAATACCATTTATTGAAGAGACTTTATCTTATTTTATTAAAGATCTAAGTAATGAAGTAGATAATGTTAGATGGAAAAAATCATGACAGTTTAAATCATGGATCATATGAAACAACACCTATTCTTTCTTTTTGAAGCTTGAAAGTCAATAGCATGGTAAAAGGACTTGAGCCATTTATTTGTCATTAGGGAAATGTAAATCAAAACCATAATGAGATACCACCTCATACCCAATAAGATCAAACACTATTGGTGAGAATGTAAAATGGTGCAAAAACTTGGAAAATGGCATGGCAGTTTCTCAAAAGGCTAAACATAGCATTGCCATATGATCTAGCAATTCTACTTCTAAGTGTATACTCAAGAAAACTGTAAATCTATATCTACACAAAAACTTGTACATGAATATTCATAGCAACATTATTCATATTTGCCCAGTGTGGAAATAACCCCAAATATCCATTGACTGGTGAGTGAATAAACAAAATGTGGTACTCTAAATTCATTATTTCATTTTATTATTCAACAATGAAAAATAATGAAGTACTAATAAATGCTACAACATGGATAAACTTTAAAAACATGCTAAGTAAAAGAAACACTATCACAAAAGACCATGTATTGAGTGATCCCATTTATAAGAAATGTCCAGAATAAGCAAATCCGTAGAGGCAGAAAGTAGATTAGTAGTTGCCAGGGACTGGGAAGAGTGGGGAATGGAGGGTGACCACTAGTGGATATGGAATTTCTTAGGATGATGAAAATGTTCTATAATTAAATAATGCTAATGATCGTGTACTTTTGTGAACATACTAAAAACCACTGAAGAGCACGCTTAGGAAAAGAAGCAAAAGAAACTAAATAGTTTCCTGAGGTCCCTGCTTCTCCAGCAGCCCTCTCAAGTATAGTGTTTTTGTCTTACATCTCACCTTATAGCTAGGAAAGTCCCTGTAGTTATGTCCAGACAATTTCTTCTCTTGCAGAGCCCTGGCCTTGTGAGGCTTCTGCTTTCTGGATATACCATCCTGTTCCTTGCTCATTACTATCATCTCTGAACATCCTAGTGACTCCCCATCATTCCTGGAAGATATTAGCCTCTGGATCACTTCCATCTGCTTCAAATTAATAACTCCTTCCTCTCTCATGACCATTTCCTTAATTTCACCTCGGCTACCCATTCCCATATACTGAGGTTTTATTGATTAAAGAAAGACTAGTTTTCAGAAGTACAGAGTACTTATTTAGATGATAAAAGTTCAATAATGGTTAGAGTAGCCCTGTTGGCAGAGGATATTAGATCCTGTTTTGTTAAACTATACTGTGTGTCTTCCCTCCACGTGTAATCCCTTTGAGGAAAATATAATAGATTTGGAATTTAGAGTAAGAGAGCTATACTAAAAAGTTATTGGAAGTCTGGAATACATATGTTTTACTTATTTTTAGTATCCTTGTGTATTTCATATTTTTATTTTTTCTTTTAGAGGTTATAATGTTTGTAAAACGATTGAACAGGTGACTAAAAACTAAGTTGTGATGTTTTTTTATTTTGGTTTAGCAGAAACAAACCACTCTTGAGCAGCCTGCCTTTTCAGTTTCAAAGCAGTCACCACCAATATCAGCACCTAAGAGGATTGATCCAAAATCTATTTGTAAAACACCCAGTAGCAGTGCCTTGGATGATTACATGAGCTGGTAATTACTTTTGGTGTTCAGTTTGGCACAATAGAAATAATATGGGCTTCAGGGACAAATAGATCTATAGTTAAATCCTGCTATGTTACTTTAAAGAGTTTCCAAACTTCTGTTATTTTTCTGAGCATCAGTTTTTTCATCAGTAAAAGAGGAGGGGAAGGTGACTACAATACATTTTTAAGGATTGTTTTGAAAGTCTCTGTTATATTATAATCTGTACCTATAACCTATAAATACTCCAAATACGTAAAACTTCTTGATAATTATACATTGTCACATGAATATCTTTCTGTAACTGAGAGAGATATTTTAAAATTTAGCATTCTTAGACTGGATAAAGTAGGTACATTTTATAGCAAAGGAGGTGTTAATTGGAATGTAATAGTTTCTGAAAGAGGTTGGTTGTATAGGTCACATTGTTCTGGGAGTATTCAAAAGTAAAAGACTTGAGTGGATGGGAATGAGGGATGGGTGAAGAAATTGGATGGTCAGTGCTGATTGACAGGAAATAAGGGTATTGCAAAAGCAAATTAATGATATTTCAAAGAAAGGAAATAAAGGAATGTGGCACATCATATCATTCAACTAGTGGCTATATTTTTAATGTCTTAGAGAATAACTTAAGTCCATGATGCCTTTTGCTTTTCATTTTCATAATGTACTCTTTGATCTTAATTAGAACTGGCCTTATAAAAGAGGTTTTATAACCTGGTCTCTTAACCAATTTAATACAGTTTTGCTATATATTACCTCATTTTATTATATGTTGGAATATTTTAAAGAATGGTTGCTAACTAGAATCGTGATGTAGTTATTTTTGTGAAGTTGTGTTATTGTCTACAAATATTTGTAGAATTCCTTTGTGCCAAGCATCATTCTAGGTGTTGAAGATGTGATAGTGAATAAAACAAGCAAAGCACAGCTTTAAGCTCAAAAGCCAAACTCCTCTGATGTAATTAATTGGCTTTCAGATATTTCTAGCAGGCTATTGTAGAACATAATTATTAAAAAGCGCTCATAAGCTCTATGACCAGCCGTAGGCTAATGTTTGCCTTGGCTAAATTCTTATAAAATAACCCCAACTCCATATTTTAATGCCATCTTATTAATTTTACTAGTAAGAATTTCTTGTCTAGGAGTAAAAAATTACTTTCAGAAAGAACTGCCCCCAAATGAAATTTCTGGTGATTGTGTATCTAGAATAATTTAACTATATTATGAAAACTGACTTGGATTCTGTTTGATGTAATACATTTAAGTTTATATGCATCTTTTAAAATCACACAAAAACTGAATCAGAATCTTGTTTTTACAATTTTAATGTTTTAAACTAAAACCATATCTTTCCTAGTTTTAGAACTCCCGTTGTAAAGAATGACTTCCCACCTGCTGGTCAGTTGTCAACACCTTATAGCCAACTTGCCTATTTCCAGCAGCAACGGCAGCAAATACCTGTTACTCCACTTCAAACTTTACAGGTTTGATAAGCTTTATTTATGATGGTATATGATTTAGGTATGATCAAATCCTAAGATTTTATTTTCACAGCAGCTAGTTGTTAGGAATGGCCTTAAGAACTTGTCCATTTTTAGTTCTATGAGGCAAAACTCTTCTAATATCTTCCTAAGGGTACTTTGTGACTTTGAGAGGTTAGTTATTAAAGAAGTGAATGAAGTTTTTCTCACTAACTAGGCCAAAAGATCCAGTTTGAATAGCTAGACAAAATTTCTCTTGTAATTTAGGTTACTTTTTATTCGATTTTACTATTTAAGTCTGCTATTACTGAGCAGCCTCATTTCATTGGCTGATTGAGATGCTACTAAAATATATACAATGGAATATTATGCAGCCATCAAAAGGAACGAAATCTTGCCATTTGCAACAACGTGGATGGAACTAGAGGGTATTAGGCTAAGCGAAATAAGTCAATCAGAGAAAGACATGTATCATATGACCTCACTGATATGAGGAATTCTTAATCTCAGGAAACAAACTGAGGGTTGCTGGAGTGGTGAGGAGTGGGAGGGATGGGGTGGCTGGGTGAGAGACACTGGGGAGGGTATGTGCTATGGTGAGCGCTGTAAATTGTGTAAGATTGATGAATCACAGACCTGTACCTCTGAAACAAATAATTATCTGTTAAAAAAAAGAAGAAGAAGAAGATAGTAGGAAGGGAAAAATGAAGGGGGGGAAATCAGAGGAGGAGACAAACCATGAGAGACTATGGACTCTGAGAAACAAACTGAGGGTTCTAGAGGGGAGGGGGGTGGGAGGATGGGTTAGCCTGGTGATGGGTATTAAAGAGGGCACGTTCTGCATGGAGCACTGGGTGTTATACGCAAACAAGGAATCATGGAACACTACATCAAAAACTAATGATGTAATGTATGGTGATTAACATAATAAAAAATAAGAGAAAAGTTTTTGCCGGTGAAGCGATTGTACTGCCATCTAGAGAAAAAAACACTCTCCTGATATCAGTACTAAAATTAGTTTCTAATAACTATCTGAGAGGCAGCTTAATAGTGGTAGAAAGCATGAACTCTGAAGGGAGATTTTCTGGCCATGAATCTTGGCCTCACTACTTACCAGCTGTTGACCTTTTGTAAGTTACTTAAATTTTCCGTGGCCATTTCATCACCTATAAAATGGGAATAACAGGCGTCTGGGTGGCTCAGTCGTTAAGTGTCTGCCTTCGGCTCAGGTCATGATCCCAGGGTCCTGGGATCGAGCCCCATATTGGGCTCCCTACTCCGCGGGAAGCCTGCTTCTCCCTCTCCCACTCCCCCTGCTTGTGTTCCCTCTCTCGCTGTGTCTCTGTCAAATAAATAAATAAAATCTTTAAAAAAAAAAATGGGAATAACAAAGCTACCTACCCTATAGGATAATTGTGAAGATTGAATTAACTAACATATATATATATATGTAACTTTTACAAAAGGGTCTGCTACTTAGTAAGTTATAAAAGTTAGTAGTAATTGTTATTTAAATAAACAGCCAAAAAGAACAACAACCAAAAAAACCATACAGGTAATTAGCTATTTCAAATTAAGAGAAAAAATTTAGCTGACAGAAAGTAGAACAATGGTTATCAGTGTCTAGAGAGAGGCAGGAATGGGGAGTTACTTACTGTTTAATGGGTGTAGAGTTTCAATATGAGATGATGGATGATGGTAATGTTTGCACAACAGTGTGAATGTACTTTATCTTAATGCCACTGAGTTGTGTACTTAAAAATGGTTAAAATGCAAATTTTTTGTTATGTGTATTTTACAATTAAAAAAGAACAAAAAAGGGGCACTTGGGTGGCTCAGTCGGTTAAACGTCCAACTCTTGGTTTCTGCTCAGGTCATGATCTCAGGTTCCTGAGATCAAGGCCCATGTTGGGCTCCACGGTCAGCAGGGAGTCTGTTTCTCTCCATCTTTCTCCCTCTCCTCCCCTTGCTCGCTCTCTCTCTTTCTAAAATAAGTATCGCTTTTAAAAAATAAAAAAAGAACAAGAAAGCTGACAATATTCTATGGAAAGAGGAATAGTTTGTTTGTTTTTAAGATTTTATTTATTTATTCATGAGAGACAGAAAGAGGCAGAGGCAGAGGGAGAAGCAGGCTCCCCGCAGAACAGGGAGCCTGATGTGGAACTTGATCCCAGGACCCTGGGATCATGACCTGAGCCGAAGGCAGACATTTAACCGACTGAGTCACCCAGGCACCCCAAGAAGAATAGTCTTCTGAGGATTGAAGCAGAATAATAAATTACAAAGGAAAGATGATCAGGTTTGCCTGCATACATTGATTCAAAACACATTTATTGAGCTATTACTCATGTCAGACCCTGTTTGAGTTGATATCTGTAAGTCAAGTCATGACCAAGTGAAGTAGCCAGGAGCTTTCTAGAAAAGGCCAGTGTCAGGAAACTGAAAAGGGGCTAGAGTGTGGCTAGAGCTCAGGCAGGGGCTAGGTGATCCTTAGGGTTCTGCTGGACCCTTTATTTTTATTTATTTATTTATTTATTTATGTGTGTATGTAAATGAGTAGGCTCCTCGCCCAGTGTGGAGCCCAACCTGGGGCTCAAACTCAAACCCCTGAGATCAAGAGTCTGATGCTTAACCAACTGAGCCACCCAGGTATCCCTCTTCTGGGCCCTTTAAATTTTAACCTGAGAGGGATGAGAAGCTGTGCAACAGCCGGTAGCAGGGAAGTGAAGTGATCTTATTTGCATTTTGAAAAAATTACTCTGGCCACAGTGAGGAGGATGGACCAAGCGGGATGTGGAATGACCTGTGTAGGAAACTGAGCTTCACATTGGTATTAAATCAAGTAAGTCAGAATTACTTTACTCTAAAAACTGTCAGCAGGGGGCGCCTGGGTGGCTCAGTCCTTAAGCCTCTGCCTTCGACTCAGGTCATCATCCCAGGGTCCTAGGATTGAGTCCCACATCGGTCTCCTTGCTCAGTGGGGAGCCTGCTTCTCCCTCTGCCGGCAGCTCCCCCTGCTTGTGCACTCTCTCTGACAAGTAAATAAATAAAATCTTTAAAAAAAAAGAAAAAAAGGAAAAGAAAACATACTTCATGACTCAACCGTGTTTTTCAACCCTAGAAGTTAAAGAAATTAGCATCTTTTTATATTATGTAAAAGGAGATTACAAGAGAGTTCTACCATTTGGAATCTAAAGCAGGACTTGGTTAAATTGAGGTTTATTCAGACCTTGTTTCAACTTAATCAGCTAATAAGATGCTCTTTGTGTCTTCAGCTTCTTTGTCAGCTTGGAATGACTCTTTTCACTGTACTCCATCCATGCAAAGCATTTATAGGTCCACAGAGAGCTCTAGCATAAGGGGAGGGAAGAAGGGGCACATTGCAGTAGGACATCAGCTAGAAGTTTGCTGAGGTGGATGCTGAAGTTCAGATTAACATGTTGAAGAGCACCCAGCAGAAAAGGGGCATTGCTGAAATTTGCATTTGTCTGATTGACTCTGGAGCTCTAAGCACCTTAGCACACTGCTTTCTTTATAATGTAATGCTAAATGAGGAGAAAGAATATAGATATAATTGTCTATATATGTAAGTGTAAAGAGGTTTATATAAGAAAAAAGAATAAATAAGGTGAAAAGTAATAGCTCGTGAGTTTGTATATTGGAAGAGTTCTTAAATCTCCTATTTATTGATTGATTTTTTTTTTTTTAAGGATTTTATTTATTTATTTGACAGGGAGAGACACAGAGAGAGAGGGAACACAAGCAGGGGGAGTGGGAGAGGGAGAAGCAGGCTCTCCACGGAGCAGGGAGCCCGATGTGAGGCTCGATCCCAGAACCCTGGGATCATGACCTGAGCTGAAGGCAGACACTTAACCGACTGAGCAACCCAGGTGCCCCAATCTTCTATTTATTTTATGTTTCTAAAAAGTACAGGTGAACTAATGTAACATTGTATGTCAACTATACTTAAATTCAAAACAATTAAAAAAAAAAAGAATTAGGGGCACTTGGGTGGCACAGTCAATTGAGCGTCCAACTCTTGGTTTCAGTTCAGGTCATGATCCTAGAGTCCTGGGATCAAGCCCCGCGTTGGTCTCCCTGCTCAGTGGGGAGCCTGCTTCTCCCTCTCCCTCTGCAGCTCCCCCTGCTTCTACACGCACACGCTCTCTCTCTGTCAAATAAATAAATCTTTTTAAATTAATAAATAAATTTAAGAAGTAAAGGCAAGTTAGAGGGGGATACCTTGGAAGTTTATATATTAAATTTATTTCTTTGACTAAAATAGAGTAAAATTCCTCTTTAAAATATTGTCTGACATCTAATTACTTAAAATTTAAGATAATTTCAAAATTGGAAGCATTTCACTGTACTAAATACAAGCTAATTTCTCATGCATATTCTTTGCACCTTTGAATCTTTATATTTTTTAATTATTTAGATTTCAGCATCCTCTTCAACAAATGAATGCATTTCAGTTAAAGGAAGAATCTATTCTATATTGAAGCAGATAGGAAGTGGAGGCTCAAGTAAGGTAAGTATCTTAAATATTTAAGAGAGAAAAATATTTGTCTTTTTACCTTTTGGGGCTCTTTTTTCTTAGCACCTGGGGGGCCTGTATTGCTTTTGAGCCAAAAAGTCCTTCTCATCCCCTGCTCCCATTCCCTCTCTCCAACAAATGACATATCTCTTTAGGCCTATCTCTTAATTTCAATTCTCTGTTCTTCCCTCTGATGTCCTGTGCTTCCAAATTTCTTCTCTAAATGACATTAGTATTGACTTCAGGATGGCAAATGAAGCTGTGTATTATCACAAGCAATCTTGTGTAAGTAATATTTTGGGATGATTCAGCAAGATATTTGACTAATATTTTTAGTTTTTTGAGTTTTTCTTTTCAAAAACAGTTTAGTAATGTGAATTTCTGGAATTGGAATGGATCATTTCCTAAATTTATCTGAGTTCTAAATTTATACAGTTCTACTTTTCTGGGTGGAAGGCATCTCAAAAGAGTTGTCTACACTTAACCATCTTCAATTCTCCTCACTGTTCTCTTAAATCCACTTAAGTCATATTTTTATCTTCATCATTCACGAAAACAGTTGTTATCAGGATCACCAGTGATCTCCATATTTTTGCCAAATCTAATTTTAGCTTTAATTGTGGGTTACTCAGCATTTGGGACAGTTGATTGTTCTTCCCTTGTTGAAACTTTTTTTTGCCCCCATTTGGCCTCTCTCAGTTTTCCTGTTCTCCAACTGGCCATTCCTTTCCAGTCTTCTTCATGTCCCTTATCTTAATGGCATAGTGCTCCAGGTCTCAGTCCTTGATCTCTTCTCTTTCTAAACTCACTTCACTCCTTTGGTGTTGTCCAGTCTTGTGGTTTTAAATACCATGTATATGCTGATAATTCCCAAACATATTTGTAGCTCAGACCTCTCCCTTGAATTCCAGACTTTATACTCAGTCTGACTGCTCTGTTTCTCTTCTTGGCTGTCTACTAGGTATTTAAAACTTAATATATCCCAAACATAACTCTGGCTCCAGAGTCTTTCCCAGTTCAGTAAATGGTAACTTCGTTCTTCCACTAGCTAGGCCAAAAACTCTGGAATCATTGACTTCACTTTCTTTCTCACATACATCCAGCCAATCAGCAAATCTTGTTGGTTCTACCTCAAGAGTACATCCAGCATCTGACTATTTCTCACCACCTCCACTGTTATCACTTTGGTCAAAGCAACTGCCATCTTTTCACCTGGTTTATTATAATAGCCTTCTAACTAGTCTCATTGATTCAATTCTTGCTCTCCTGGTGTATTTTCTTATAAGAGTCAGTTTTCCTCCAGATATCCTCACGTCTTTGCTCAAACATCTTCTCAATCAGGCCTTCCTTGACCACACTCTTTAATACCAGAACTCCCACCTTCTACTTGCTGGTGAGCTCCATTTCCTTCTTTATTTTTCTCTGTAGCTCATCTTCTAGTGTGCTCTGTAATTTACTTATTTGGTTTGTTGTTTGTCTTCCTGCACTTGAATGTGAGTTCCATCAAGGTAGGGATGTTTGTCTGATTTGCTCAACAATGTTTGCTCCGTAATCTGGAATAGTGCCTAGAACGTAACAGAGTGAAGTAATTTGTTGGATGAGTGTTCCTACTCAGCTGTTTTGCTGTTATAAATTGTTAAGGATGATCTATGAAGCAAAACCTGTTAGGTTTAAGTTTTACTGTATTCTCTAAGCCAGCTAAAAATAACTAGATTTAAGACTGTCTTGTTAACTTATTATAAATAAGGTATGTACATTATAATTTGTAGCAATTGTTCAATGATATTAGTTTCTTTTTTGTATACATTTTCTTCTTTCCGTTGCCTCAAATTTCAGGCATAAGAACAAAGGGACAATACAATTGATTTTTATCAATATATTGGAATTACCTAATTTAGTTGCTTTAATAGAAATTCTTTGGTTAATATTTATTATTTATTCTTTATATTTGAATAGTGTCAAGGTGCAATATTTAGTGGTATGTTTTCAGAAGATGTAAAATAATCTTGCTGATGTTTTAAACATTTTTTCCTTGGAGCATAATGACGGTGCTAGCTTAAGTCAAGAGCCAGGTGATAAGGCCATGACTGGCCCACATTTTTTTTTTTAGTATGATTACATTATATTATTTAATTTAATTATTATGGTGGAGTTGACAAAATCAACACACCTCAGAGAAAGAGGGTAACATGCTTTATGAAACTGTTTATGTTCTGTCTATTCTAGAGTTTAGACAGTGACCAATTTATACTGTATTAAGAGCATTTAGAAAGGTCATGGGGGCAATTAGGAATGGTCATGACACTGGCCTTTCTAGTTCTTTCATTAACTTTCCATGAAACTGAACATTATAACTGATACTATCTCTATGAAATAGAAATAAGGGCTACCTAATCATCAGTTACTGCAAGAGTTTTGGCAGAGCAGGGGCAATACGGGAGTGAAAGCACATACATGCAAAAAGTTGATTTAAAAGTTTTCATTTCCTCCAAAACTTTGAGATCTTATTGTATAGTTTTAATATCTTGCAAATCCTTTTTTCTGATATACCTGACAACTTTAATAGGTTCTAAAATGTCCACTTCAGGGGCGCCTGGGTGGCTCAGTCGTTAAGCATCTGCCTTCGGCTCAAGTCATGATCCCAGGGTCCTGGGATTGAGCCCCGAGTCGGGCTTCTTGCTCAGCGGGAAGCCTGCTTCTCCCTCTCCCACTCCCCCTGCTTGTGTTCCCTCTCTTGCTGTGTCTCTCTCTGTCAAATAAATAAATAAAATCTTTAAAAAAAAATAAAATAAAATGTCCACTTTATTCTGTCCTAATTGTCCTTAAAGATAGTAGCTAACTTTGCTGCACTCCAAACACATCATCTCGGTCATCCTTCCAACCCTGCATGGTAGGTACTACTAACAACATTTTAATTGTATTAGAGTAGTAGATACTCTCAATTCTCTGAGGTTTGTAAGGCTGTTTACCTTATACAAAGTGGCTTTATATGTTTTAAAATTCCTTTTATCTCTTCCCTTGCTATTTTCTGTTGTCTCTTGCCCTATCACTGTTTTAATGCCTATCCCTGTCTAATTTGCTATGTGTGCAAGTAAAACCAGTAATACTTTGTTAGAGTTTTGTATTTAAAATTTTAAAGTAACTAAGCTTATTAGTGCATTTGCAATGCATGAATCTCATATACACTTCTGTTCTTTTCTCATTCCTTGCCCCGACCTGTTGGGTAGTCAAGGTTAAATGGCTTTTGAGTAAATGATATTTTACTTCAACGTGTCCAAAGGGATAAATGAATGTAATTTTTCTTGCTTACCCTGGCATTTGTATTTGTATTCATGCATTTCAGAAGCCTCATCCCTGTTGCATGTTTGCTGAAAATTGGGCACCTTAACAGTGTTTTCTATTTTTCAAGATGTATTATCTGCCCCATTAAAATTGCTTAGAAGTTGACTGTCATTATAGTCAGAGCAGTTTGACCTGGACCTCAGAGATCCTGACAGTGGGCTTATAGGAACATTTTGTTCCTGTCAACTTGACTTTGAAAATTAGACCTAATCCACTTTTCACAACTGAATATACAGATAGCTTACAATTATTACATTTTTAAAAAATACTCTCTACCACATGAATGAAATGTCAGTTCCAGGCACAACAGAAAAAAACACCATCTGTGAAATGAATTGACTATGACAGCACTTAGATGTTCTTAACATTTTTTTTTTAAGGTTTTATTTATTTATTTGACAGAGAGAGAGGGAACACAAGTAGGGGGAGTGGGAGAGGGAGAAGAAGGCTTCCTGCTGAGCATGGAGCCCGATGGGGGGCTCGATCCCAGGACCCTGGGATCATGACCTGAGCCAAAGGCAGCCGCTTAACCGACTGAGCCACCCAGGCGCCCCGATGTTCTTAACATTTTTGACTGTTTTCTTCTTTAGGTTATTTTCCAGGTTAAGGCATCCAACAGAGTGTTATGAATACATATGAAATTTAAATTATCTTTTTTACATGTTAATATAAAAACTTTTTACGTTTACCCCTTTGCATTATTGAATGCCCATTGTCATAGGTAGCTGAGAATGGTCTTTTAACTCTCCTAACATATTTTTTCCCTTCAGTACTCAAAATAAGCCCAGACATATTTAATTATTCGTGTCAGTATTCTTTAACCTAAAATTCTAATAAATTTAGAAGTATTATGATAATGTAAAAGTAGGGCATTCTAAACTTTATCCTTTGTTTTACTATATAGGTATTCCAGGTATTGAATGAAAAGAAACAGATACATGCCATAAAATATGTGAACTTAGAAGAAGCAGATAATCAAACAATTGAGAGTTACCGGAATGAAATCGCTTACTTGAATAAACTACAACAACACAGTGATAAGATCATCCGACTTTATGATTAGTAAGAATTTTTTTTAATTTGAAAGGAAAACTATTTTTGCTATAATTCTTTAGACTTAATAAATCTTAATAGTATAACCTAACCATGTATTGCTTTGGTTTTTTTATTTGTTTTTAATGGCAGTGAAATCACGGACCAATACATTTACATGGTAATGGAGTGTGGAAATATAGACCTAAATAGTTGGCTTAAAAAGAAAAAATCCATCAATCCATGGGAACGCAAAAGTTACTGGAAAAATATGTTGGAGGCAGTTTACACAATTCACCAACATGGTATTTTAAAATCTCTTTATATGCAGAGTTATAATAATCATTAATAATGTCATCTTAGAGAAATACACCATTAATTTTTAGGTATTTGTTATTGGCACCTTTAGACTAGATAAATATTTGGAAGCTCATTTAAAGATGAAAGGACAAAAAAACCATTTCTTTAAAGCACTGTTTACCAAAGGATATAGTGCATGCATCCATAATGCAAAATGTACCCATATCTTTATTAGTATTAACACAGTCCATTATCCTGGGTCTCCAAATAGTTCAGTTATAGCAGATCTGAGACTTTGCGGTTCAGGCATCTCAAAAATCTGAGATGTTTATTTCTCATTCTCCCGGTCATTTTGTATTGTGTGCCCTGTCTGGGAGTTGGTTTTATTCTTTTTCAATTGTTAGCCCTAAGTTGTTTTTTTACTTTACTTGGACTTGGTTCTTTTTAGGGCTTCTCTGCCTTTGCTGTATCCTTTTTTTAAAAACAACTGTTAACCTAAATAATTGTAATTTTTTTCCCCTCATGTCTCCTATAAGTTAAAAGATAATTCACCAGAGATTAAGATCAGGGTTGTAGGGATAGAGGTGTCAGGGGCATTAGGGTCTTAACCACTTGGCAGTATAATTTATGATGTTATGTAGTGGGTGGTGAATCGGTGGTTTTAAGATCATTAACTCTCAAGCCAGATTGCCAGGGTCAAGTCACAGCCCTGTCACTTAGGCTATATGATCTTGAACAAATTACTTCAACTCTTTGCCTTAGTTTCCTCTCTTAAAAGTGGGGATAATAATAGTACAGTACTTAACCCAGTGCTGGTATGAGAATTAAGTGATTCAATCTAAGCAGCAAACTTAGAAAGTGTCTGGCACATAGCAGGTGCTATATCTTTTTAGAAAATATTAAAAATGAGCATTTAATTTGATTGACTAAAGGAATCAACTCAGCCAGTAGGTTGTGAAATTTTTTTGTACTTAGAATATTTTACATTGTCTAATATTACAGTGGATTTTTATTTTGAAGGCATCGTTCACAGTGATCTGAAACCTGCTAACTTTCTGATAGTTGATGGAATGCTAAAGCTAATTGACTTTGGGATTGCAAACCAAATGCAACCAGATACAACAAGTATTGTTAAAGACTCTCAGGTAAGACGTAATGAATGGTTGGCTTCCACGCACTACAGTTCAATTCCTTTTCACCTGTACTTTGCTAACGGGGATTTTATTTTTTCCTACTTCATTCTTCAAAGGATTTGAAACCTTTGTATAAGAATAAATACTATAAGAATCAGAACCATATTTAATACACTTTAGTATAAAAAGTCAAGATTAGGTAGAAATAAATTGAGCAATTTTGGATGATTTTCCTATAGCTGAGGTAGAGAAGCAGTAATACCTGTCTTGGAGATCATCTTGGTCATGATCTTGAGTTCACCTGAAACTTTGTCTCAGAAATACCTGGTAACAACCAAAGAGGAAATTGAAATTACATGTTTTTCATTGTCCATGAGGTAAGATTATTTCATTCTTCTGGAGAAGTAAAGCTTTTCCTATCACTTGCATTTGAAAAAATTCTTTTTTTTAAATAACTTTTTTTAAAAGATTTATTTACTTATTTTAGAGAGAGAGCGAGCAAGCACAAGTGAGCGGAGGGGCAGAGAGAGAGAATCCTCAAGCAAATTCCCCACTGAGTGGGAGGCCCAAGGTGGGGCTTGATCCCAGAACCCTGAGATCATGACCTGAGCCAAAATCAAGAGCAGGCTGCTTAACTGACTGAGCCAGTCAGGCGCCACTGAAAAAAATTTCTCAAGTGGGCCTTCATATTGGAAACACCATAATGAATACTGTACTCAACTGCATTTTTCTAATAGGGTATGCAATCACAAACTTAATAAATTTGTCCCCATAAAAACTAAGGTGATGACACCAAAGAATAACTAAAAGTAATCCTGCTTGGAGCCAAGATGATGTGTTCCACGTATGCAGATTTTTGATGTGGATCTGCCATCCTAGAAGTAAAACTAGATCATTTTTAGGAGGAACAGATGGACGGCATGCCCTTGAAACAATTCTATTTGACAGTGACTTCTCTTTGTATCATAAATGTGGCTGAACATTGGGGCTTCTGGGTGGCTTAGTTGGTTAAGTGTCCGACTCTTGATTTTAGCTCAGGTTGTGATCTCAGGGTCATGGGATGGAGCCCCGGGTCAGGCTCCCTGCTCGGCGGGGAGTCTGCTGCTCTCCATCTCCCTCTGCCCCCTGCCCCTGTCCCTGCTTGTACCCTCATGTGCAGACGCTCTCTCTCTCTCAAATAAATAAATGGTAAAAAAAAAAAAAAAAAATACGGCTGAATATTTAGTTGTAAATCAGTTTGAAGATACCCTCTATGGCAAGGTCCTAAAGTACAGGTATTCTGTGTTTGAAAACAGAACCATTTGTTTTAAAATAAAATAAATGCCTCATAAAGTTGGCATAATCCGACTGTGGAAGCTCTTGCATGATTTACATACCTGCCCCATCTCACTCTGGACATAGGCCCAGGGAATACTTGGAGACATAGCAAGAGTTTTGATTGGTTGGTTGGTTGATTTTTTTTTTTTTAAGCATTCTAGGTCTATTCCAGCACAGAAATGAGTGATTGATATCAATTCCTTCAAAGCTTATGGCTTTTAGTATAACTTTAGTCTCGACAGTTTTATGGTAGTTGTTCTCCATCGTCATAGAAAAAGCTCAGCATTCTGAATGGAATAATTTACTGATTATGAATCTAATTTGCTGGAGTTGTGAAGAAATTTATGTCCTAATATTGTTGTCAGTTACTTGAGTTTTTTAAAAAATTACTGCAATATGTAATTATTCAAGTTTCCAAGAGTCTGACATTTGTGTTTTAAAAAACCTAAGGCAAAATAAGGTATTTTCATTGATATGTGTTTTCTGTGATTTGGCATACAGGTTGGTACAGTTAATTATATGCCACCAGAAGCAATCAAAGATATGTCTTCCTCAAGAGAGAATGGGAAATCCAAGTCAAAGGTACTGTGAAGGTTATTTACATCCCATTTATTGGGCATCAATAGGGAATGGGCTATTCTCTGATTAAACTTAACAGCCAACTCAAAGTTGCTCAAGTTCTAAAACTTTTTAGGTCCTTATAGAGACCTTGCTTTCTTAAGCAAATTATCATGGGATTCAATTTTACTGTTATTTATTGATTTGAGACTGTTCTTTTAATATTGTGCTTTTAATATGGTGGTGTCTCAACAGTGTGCTCCACTAAGAAATGTTCCCAGGATACTTTTAAGTTTTAAAATTAAAGGTAGAAATTAAGACTAAATTATCTCTGATTTGGAGCCCTTAAATGGTATTGAACTGATAACCTTTGAAGTCTTTTGTTTCTTCTTTGATTCTTACGTTTTATCTCTTACCATTTATTCATTTGCGAATTCTGCATTTCCAAGTATAATTCTAGTCTGTAATTTTTTCCCAGCCTGCCACAGGCTACTTTCCCACTTACCTTATTTCACCACCTCAGTGAGCTTTGTGTTAGCCTCATTGGTGTTCTTGTTGGGGTCCTTTTGCCTGCCAGGATGCCTCTGGCTTCCGAACTAACCCTTCTTGCTCTGGAGCAGTGTCACAAAGTGCACGCAAGCACACATTGTTGTACAGGGACCTGCATTCAAGCAATAGATCTGCCTCTTCGTTAACAACTGTCTTTGCGACTTGACTTGCCTACTTTCTTTTTCTATAAATTAGGTTTACAAACAGTACCTATTAAAAAGTAATTGAGGGGCGCCTGGGTGGCTCCGTTCGTTAAGCGTCGGACTCTTGATTTTGGCTCAGGTCATGATCTCAGTGGTGAGATCAAGCCCCGCATCAGGCTCCGTGCTTAGCACAGAGTCTGCTTGGGATACTCTATCTCTTTCTCTCCTCTCTCTCTCTGCCTCTTCTCCTCCCCCTGCTCTCACCTACGTGTTCTCTCTCTCCCCAATAAATAAAATCTTAAAAAATATTTATTGTAGGGGCACCTGGGTGGCTCAGTCGTTAAGCGTCTGCCTTCGGCTCAGGTCATGATCCCAGGGTCCTGGGATCGAGGCCCGCATCGGGCTCCCTGCTCAGCAGGGAGCCTGCTTCTCCCTCTCCCACTCCCCCTGCTTGTGTTCCCTCTCTCACTGTGTCTCTCTCTGTCAAATAAATAAAAAAACTTTAAAAAAAAAATATTTATTGTAATCCAATAATTTTGGAGAAAACAAGTAAATTTAAAACTTGCAGTTTTTTAGTTTTTATATTTTCAGAAACTGCAAGAACATAATATACGTTTCAGTTGAAATATTTTAATTATAAGTTTGTTGAGAGACTTAAAGCTCATCTCTTGATAAAATAACGAAATATAACAAAAACTAGAAAAATATTTTTTTTCATGTAAACCTAGTCTAGTATCTGCCCATTCATTGAGCTTTAGTTATGATTTTAAATGTTAGGGATTATATGTGTAAGTGTGTGTGTATAAAATATTCTTACATTTACTTTTAGGTTAAGATTATGGTAACTTATTATTTTTTTTTTTTTTCTAATTAGATAAGCCCCAAAAGTGATGTTTGGTCCTTAGGCTGCATTTTGTACTATATGACTTATGGGAAGACACCATTTCAGCATATAATTAATCAGATTTCTAAATTACATGCCATAATTGACCCTAATCATGAAATCGAATTTCCTGATATTCCAGAGAAAGATCTTCAAGATGTGTTAAAGGTAACATTAATAGTATATGGATATAGAAGAACAATATTTCATGTACTTAAATTGTTTGCTTAGAAGAAATAGTTGAACTCACTGGAATTATGTAACTGGCTTCAGTAGATATATCTGGTCTATTGGAAGGAATTGCTGAATGAATTAGCTTTTTAAGTCATGTTAAGTTCACTTTGAAGGTGTTTTAAAACTTATGAATACTTGGGGATTTTGCAAAAATGACTTGTGAAATAATCTTGTTACTTCTGAGTAGGCTATCTGGAAAGCAACTTCTGTAGTATGATACAATCTTGAAAGACACTTTATATCAATATTACATAAGAAAACTTGATTTTTTTAAAATTCTTATTTGTATAGTGTTGTTTAATAAGGGACCCTAAGCAGAGGATATCCATTCCTGAGCTTCTGGCACATCCATATGTTCAAATTCAAACTCATCCAGGTACTTCTTTGAAAATCAGTTTATTAGTAACTACTAATCTAAACAGATGTATAGCTGTAACAGAAAACAATATGAATCGGCTTCTCTTTTCCAGCCTGCTTCCTCCCGTAAGGAAGGTCCTTTTATGCTAAAATCCTAAAGTAAATGAAATTACTTTTTAACTTGCTGGCATTCATATTTACTTACTCTAGGTAAATGGCTATGATTAGTGATAAATTACAAGAAGCCAGTTATTGTGCTGTTAAACAGAATGTATTTGTATGTGATTTTATATTTTTTATTGGTACGGCATTTTATTGATTATATTTTTTGGCAGGTAACCAGATGGCTAAGGGCACCACTGAAGAAATGAAATATGTTCTGGGCCAGCTCGTTGGTCTGAATTCTCCTAACTCCATTTTGAAAGCTGCTAAAGTAAGAATGTCTATTCTCTTTCTACATTACTTTTAAATGTTTTCTGTAGTTTAGTGAATAGACACTTAAGCAGGTAATCCAAAGAAAAGTTGGTCCAATCATTAGATCAACTATGAAGTATATTTCTACATTTAGATACTTAATGAGTGCTTTTTGACAAATATAGACTTAGTTGATTTACTTTCTTATTCTGCAGATAATTGAAAGTATATTATCATTTTAGGTGCATTCCTAAAATTGCTGTCAGGTCTCGATTGGAATAAATTTCAAAAGGTATTTGTCGTTTAAATCAACGACATTCTTAACACAGCTTTTGAATTCATTTCTTCTAGCCATTTTTTTTTTCAGAAGCCATCTTGGAGAAATCTCAGTATTTGTTACATGTAATGACTTGAAGCTATGTACAGCAGTCAGAACATTTCTCAAAGCAAATGTCTTAGACCTACCTTTCAGCCTCCCAGTGTTTATTTCTACCTATACCACCATTTTTTGATCTTGTTGCCATCAAACCCCTAGTCATTTCTGGAACCCTATGTATGCTTATTGACCAACTGGTTTAGTTACCAAGCAGTTACTAATTATTTATTTCAGTAATAATGTTATTATAAAATTATGGGAGCTTAAATTAAAGATACTCTTAGCTCTCTGGGTAGGGTAAAGCCAATCTAAGATGTCAAGAACTTGGATACATTCTGGAGGAATTTACTATATATTCGCTATTATATTTGCATTCATGACATAAAGGTAAATTTTTTTCTTAAATTTTCTTAAGTGCTCGTGGTTAAATCAATGGCTTTAGGAATTCAAATTGGACAAAATTTGTTTTATAATTTTACTGTATTTCATATCTCCATGTTTTAAATTTCTACCAGTATATTATTTAGAGCCTTTTATAAATAAAATTGAGATGAATTAGTTACCTTGACTACTAAGGTTATGTAAGTTCCTTAATGGTAGAGATGTCTGTTATCTTTATAAATTAAATGTTGGCTTAGCCTTAAATCTTTTAAAATATGTAGATTGTAATATAGCTAATTGTGTTTATTTATATAACAATTTGTATTTTTTTAATGTCATCTGTTTATTAGTTGAAATATCATCTGAAACTATATTTCCTGATGAGTATATTTTAAAGTGTAGCAATTTATCTAAGACTGGCTTAATTAAAGAAAAATACGGGAGAGCAAGAAGGCCTTTAAGATACATATATATATGCTTATTAATGGCTATGTTACATTTCTTTTATACAATGATGGAGCTGTATCTCATGATAGTAGATTTTTAGGCCAAGCTAGGTGTTTACTATTCTTAATTGTCTTCAATAGTTTATAATTTTCTAGTTATAATAACAAGAGAGAAATTCATTACATTTTTTGTAGTTATCTTTATTCGTCTGATAATACATTGACTTTTAGAAGTTACAAAACAGGTGTGTGTTTTTCATTTCAGACTTTATATGACCGCTATAGTAGTGGTGAAAGTCATGATTCCTCGTCCTCCAAGACTTTTGAGAAAAAATGATTTGCAGCTACTCATAAATTGTCAGATATCACCTGTAAAATATATTGGACTGTTATACTCTTGATTCTCTGTGGAAATCTGCTCTTAAAGACAACTTCACCCTGAAATTATCAATGGCAGCAAAATTCAGTGGATTATCCTCAAAAGAGAACTAAAAATAATAACCACTAATGATACTGTATATATTAAGTTGTAGAATTATTTTCTCTCTTTTATGCTTTTCTGTAAAGCTACTCTATTTGATACCATTTCACACTTAGAATAGTGGGTGAACAACTGAAATATACCCTGAAGAACTATGTAAATAAAGCTTTGTAGCATAAAATGACACTAAAATGTAAAAATTGTATAATTATTTTCTTTAAGCGCATGTACTGCTGGTGTGGCAGCATAATTCTTAATAAAAACTGAATTAAGGGAAGACACAAGAGTAGATCTTAGTAAATGAATGTCAAGAAGAAAATTCCAAACGGTTTGAATTCTAAAATAGATTTCCTAATTGTTTTATGGTACTGATAGAGTCCAGAGTTTTAGGGCTGTACCTTGTTCTTTTAATTCCCTCTGATTCTTCGTAGTATCTATTGCTTGGTGTTTAGAGTATCATGCTGGCTTCTGAGGTGTAAGTTGTATAGGGCATGCCCTCACTGTGTGACTTGCTTGGTAATTGGTAATTACAAATGTATAGTCTTAGAGTCTTCCGGACTGAATCTACTAGACTCTTCCCCCGCCCCTCTTCTTTTCTTTTTTTAGATTTCAATAGACTTTTTTTTTTTTATTAAGATTCTTTTTTAGATCAGGTTTAGGTTCACAGTAAAATTGAGGGGAACGTACAGAGATTTCCCATATAGCCCTTGCTCTCACACATGCAGTCTCCCTCATTATCAACATCCCCCCCCAGATTGGTACATTTGTTAAAAGTAATGAACCTACATTGACACACCATAATAATCACCCAAAGTCCATAGTTCACATACAGTTCACTCTTGGTGATGTACATTCTGTAGGTTTGGACAAATATATAATGACAAGTATCCATCATAATACTATCATATAGAGTATTTTCATTGCCCTAAAAATCTTCTGTGCTCCTCCTGTTCATCTGTTCCCTACCCCATAATCCCTGGCAATCACTGATCTTCTTTTTTTTTTTTTTAAGATTTTATTTATTTGACAGAGAGAGACACAGCGAGAGAGGGAACACAAGCAGGGGGAGTGGGAGAG